CCCCCCCCCCCCCCCCCCCCCCAAAAAAAAAAAAAACCCTCTTCCGGATACATCACAAGAAAAACGAAAACCAAGATTTACTTTATCCCTTTTGATTGGAATCATAGCACATCATTTGTCAATCGATGGTTTTAGCACCCCATTTTACTCATGTTGTTACGAAGCAAATCATCAAGTTAGGAACAATCAGTTCATACTTATTTCCGAGTTCATCATGTAATTTCATGATGATATTCTCTTCTTCTTCGCTATAGTTCCCTCGTTTCACATTCGGCTTGAGGTAATTCATCCACCGTAGTCTGCAACTCTTCCCACTTCTAGCTAAACCTGATAAACGAATCCTCCATCCTTAAAGATCATATATACAAATCATACATAAAATATTGAAACAAATAACAAAAACTTGCAGAGAGAGAGAGAGATTGTGCACTACGCCACTACCTGCATACTTGGGAAGTTTACTCCAGTTCCAATGGCCATATCTAAGAATATAAGCTTGCAACTTGTTATCTTCTTCCTCACTCCATGAACCTTTCTTCATTCCATTTTTGTCAGAGCAAGGTGTTCTCACCATTGTTTTTGGTGTCTGTCCCCTTTCTCTCCCTCAGGTATAAGCTGCTCAGGCTTGAGGAATGAGTTTTGCTAAGCTCACTTATTTCTAGTGTAGGTTTAGGAGCCGAAAACGTGTTTCACATTTTAAAGTTAATGAAGATCAATCAAGAGGTGTGACCTTTTGAAAAAGTGGGTACTCATTAGAAATGTCATAGGTATGCTTTTCAAGTAACAGAACCATGCTTGTGAACGTATTACAATATTTCACACCAGAGATAAAGGGTAGTAATAGCATAAGGGTGGTGCATCACAACATGATTGTTAAAATATCGGCCCATACTCATAAGACTTGTCCAAGTTGTATTAAATTTGAAATTTAANGGTACTCATTAGAAATGTCATAGGTATGCTTTTCAAGTAACAGAACCATGCTTGTGAACGTATTACAATATTTCACACCAGAGATAAAGGGTAGTAATAGCATAAGGGTGGTGCATCACAACATGATTGTTAAAATATCGGCCCATACTAATAAGACTAGTCCAAGTTGTATTAAATTTGACATTTTAGAATCTGATGGTGTAAAAAACAAAAAAGTATTGAGATGGATGAGTTGGTGTAAGTGTATTGAGCTGGGATTAAGGCCAGTAAAAATGCACAGATTAGGGTAATTCGTGTTGCCGAAGAACAGGAGTAGTTCGGTTTATATTTGCTTGAGAAAGAAGAGGATAACCGGTAGTGTTTCTTTTAAGATAGTGTATTGGCATATATATATATNAAAAAAGTATTGAGATGGATGAGTTGGTGTAAGTGTATTGAGCTGGGATTAAGGCCAGTAAAAATGCATAGATTAGGGTAATTCGTGTTGCCGAAGAACAGGAGTAGTTCGGTTTATATTTGCTTGAGAAAGAAGAGGATAATCGGTAGTGTTTCTTTTAAGATAGTGTATTGGCATATTTTTTTTTTTTTTTACACAATAATCGTTGCTTTTATAACAAATTTGTTAAAAAATGTTTAATCATTAGGAGGCTTTCTGTCCAAGGTGTGCGTGTACTCCTACAAGTAGTGTCCATTTGCCCAGGGTCAAATTTGCTTGTGTGTAGACTAGGCTTAATAGTAAAGTTATTCTATTTTGAATAATCAATGCATTTCTTGCATTTAGTGTAGACTAGGCTTAATAGCAAAGTTATTCCATTGTGATTATAGATCAAGTGTTTGAATCACAGCAACAATTTTTCATAGTTACTTCATTGTTATNATTCTATTTTGAATAATCAATGCATTTCTTGCATTTAGTGTAGACTAGGCTTAATACCAATGATCATAGCTTGACTTGACTTGTGGTTTCATACTCATCCACCCACGGATCATCAACATGGGGTCATTTGATGCGAACTGGAGAGAAACATTACTGGCCGTTCGACTCGGTAATTAATTAGTGCTAATTTACTCACGGCTCTTTCTCTGGNAAAAAAAAAAAACTGGATATATTACACTCCTATCTAAAAATCCTTGAACCGTCCATTTCTTCCTAGCTATCAGTAGGTATCAACAAGTAGATATTTCAGGTACCAATGATCATAGCTTGACTTGACTTGTGGTTTCATACTCATCCACCCACGGATCATCAACATGGAGTCATTTGATGCGAACTGGAGAGAAACATTACTGGCCGTTCGACTCGGTAATTAATTAGTGCTAATTTACTCACGGCTCTTTCTCTCGTTGACTGCTGACGTCCATTATGCTGATGTGATCAAACTTCTTTGAAAAAACGTCATATTGTAACAAATTCACACAGATAGTACGGTGCTAAAGAGAGATTCATACCAAAATTTATATTTTTTTAACTTATAAATTATATTCGTAAAATATATTGTTGATTCTAAAATATTATAATTAATCATAAAAATTATAATTAAAGTAAAATTATAACTTTTAACGTCTAAGTTATACCTTTTAAAGATAAAATTGCAATTAATTTGACCAATATAGATATAATTTTCTCAACCCTAAAATCAAATTATTTATTCTCATGTGGCTACGATAGTTCTTTGTTGTTCTCTCTTTTTTGATTCATGAGTTTCGACACTTTTATTCAATAACTAGTTATTCTTCGTGTTTAAAAGTGTTATATAACAAACAAAAAATGCTAATTATACTTGTAGATATTGTATAACAAATAAAAAAACTAAGTCTAGTTAAGGCTTGAACCAAAAAACACTACGTAATACCAAAAACAAATGTCAAAAAAATGAGCAAAAAGTCTAATTTTTATTATTTAGAATCTAATTGAGTATTGGATTGGAAAATAAAAATTAATAATAATTTTCAACTATTGGATCAAAATAGACATAATTGTGAGATGATTTGAGCGGCAAAAAATTAAATTTATTTTTATGTCTTGGTGATTTAAAATCTTTTTTACTTTATTTTATAGATAAATTTATTGGTGATGATAATAGAATTCAATAAATATCTATACTTATATATATTTGAAAAAATAAATAAAATTAAAACACGTAATTACTTTGGCGGGCAGAAGTGATACCAATGAGTATATATACAACTATTGGATATAACTAAATAAACGAACAATGCTATATAAATTTAAAAAGTAAATTTAAAAATTAGAATTGATAATTATAACCATTGATTTTACTGTGAGTTCCAGTATTTATTGAGACCCATTATTTATTTTATAGTTGAGATTATTAAGTCTAATTTTAAGTTACTTTTAAATAAACAGATCTGACTTCAAGTGAGACAATGGTTGGAAATGAACACATATGCTTTATATGAGTGGAGCCCAAAGCTACAGGAAGCCCCAAGGCTCGGTTAATAGGGCACGCCAAGCCCTTGCTACGTTGCATGCCATATAGTGCACACCTGTCTTTTAAGTGTCATAATTTTTGGGTGAGAGAATATAAATTAGTAATGATTTTCAATCATTAGATCAAAACAAACAAAATTGTGAGATGATCTGGATCGCAAAAAATTAAAATTATTTTAATTATATTTTAAAATTTAAATTGTATTGTATTTTATTATATAATTTTTTCTCCTACTGACCCGCTTGAAAAATCAAATCAACTTGCCTAAAAATTTATTTACTTGTTCATGCATAGTTGTATTCGAATTGCATTGAGTTTATATATATATATATAATATCATATGTATCGTATTTAATCAAATTCATTTCAATACATTTCCTCGACATGTCTAAGCATGTTCTTCTGTTTAATATTAAAATTAAATCCAAAGCCGCTCTCAAATTCATGTGGAATTTGATTATTATAAGGTCTATTCCAGACATTAATCCCCAAATGGGAATGGGGAGACTTTTGCAGATGATCCTTTTTTGGTCATTAAATATTGTGTGCCCACAAGCTAATTGTCATTTTTGTGTACTGTCACACGGGTCATGGACTTATCCGGTTGTTGTGCTCCTCCAAAACCAATTGTGGGTTTTCATATGTAAATTTTAAAGTAGTTAATTTGTGTATAATGCTAATGGGTAGGTGCGTATTCACTTTTATGGATGACCAAACCTAAAGATCCTAAAATAACGATATGATTAGGGGAAAATTGTTTTCTATACGTACATCTTCCAAACTCACCTATTAATAGGCAAATAATGTTGGTTTGGGAGAATTATTTACCAATGTACAATTATTTACCATAAGAATGGAATTGTTAACTCCACTTTCTATATAAAAATGAATTTATTGACTCGGCTTTCAAAAAAATTTTATAAATTGGTAAATAAGTTCAAAATTGTCATAAGTTAGTAATTTGTTTAAAAACAATAATACATTGATAAATAATTCTGATTTGGGACCTCTTTGAAAGCTTCTTAATTATATCCCTGGTGGAGTTCCTCTTGATGCAGAGGTTGTATCTCATGAGAAATTTATTCTTATTAATACTCTAATCCCAACATAAATAGTTTATTTTTTACCAGACCGGTGAGGGAATTAATCGAGGTGCGAATAAGCTGACTTGGACAGTCCTGACCGTTGAACCAAAACATAATCTATAATATAAAACATGACAGACTTCAATAAGTTTATGCGACGATCTCAAAAAGACTCATCTAACGGCTATCAACATCACACTCAAAATTATTCACATTGATTTACGTTACACCGTGCCTTTAGACATAAATTATCCCTAGTAATAATAATAATAAGAGATAAGAATTTAATGTTTTTTTTATTCTCGTTGGGTTGTTAAGCTGAGGTTTAGAAAATACTAAATTCACGATAAGCCACAATTCTCAATGAAATTCTATTTGATATATGCCGTTAGATCACTACAACAAGATTAAAAAAAAAGGTTTGAAAGATGATACAGTAAAATTTTAAAGGGATAACTAATTGGGCCTAGTTTAATTAATCATCATTGATACCAGAAGGACAGGGGGTCAATTCTGCCAAGGAAATACTTATGTGCTCCTCTCTCTGCTAGCTGTATTCTACTCTTATTTGTCTATTTCTTTGGAGCTTTTTTTCTGCTTCTTTTTGGGCTTATGATTTAATCTTTGCTCTCATCTCCTGGTTGACAAAATCTCCCAAATAAAAAAATCAAGAATGACTAATTAGGCGAGATTCAATTAGCTAGTTTTTACTACTATTGTGGTACTATTTTTGTCATTTTTTTTGGTATTATAATAATGGTAAAAATACTCACAAATGTGATAAATTTGTACCATAGTCAACTCCTAACTTTTTAAGTCCTAAATTATGTCTCTAAACTATGTCCTAATAATATTAGTAATTAAAAAAATAGAACTAAAAACATTAGTAAATGCACAAACCAGCGGTAATATTAGAGGAAAGGTAACGGTTTTACTGGCAATATTGTATCGAAAATTATAATTTTTTAAAATTAAGATATATTTTTTTTGAGATGTAAGTTACAATTTTAAAAGGTATGATCAATCATGAACAGTTGAGATCAATACCGAGACTTCATAATCTTTCCCGTGAACAGTTGTAACTTCTTCTTTCAAAGTTATAA